AACATTTGTTTGTGGGATTACACGAAGTCACAACAATAAGTGCAAAGCACTCAAAGCGAAGTTCTCAGTAAGTTCGTTCTGATTAATGGGAATGTGACAGTTTTGAAGCTTCAAGCATGCCCAAAGACTAATGTTAATGTTGCTTTGACAATTATGAAACTAGAAGCAAGATTATCAATCATGCCATTTACATAACGAAATGTCCAGCATAATGCACCTTAACAATTGGGTCGAGTAAAGTAGATATGACTGGACCAAAAGAAGGACCTAAGAGGATATAGTAAGTTTCTCAAGAGTTTACTCCTACCTCCACATCAATCCAATGTCCCAACCAAAACCTTATTCCCCAATTGCCCTGCACCCAAAACCCTTCAAGGGTTTTACAGAATTATACATTTTCAACTCAGTCCTCCAAGTTTCCAAAGTATGACATGCCCTTCGATTTTCACAACAACCAAAAAACCTTTCAAAATTTCGATTACTTCGATTTTCATAGCCACCAAAAAAACTTTCAAAATTTCGATTATACTATGAGAAAGATGCATTACCTGTTTAGGACCCCTCTCCATGGACAGATGAAGCTTCACCAGAATGCTCGGCCTCCTTAGAACTCTGGGGCTTTCGATGAGCCTGTCGGGCGCTTAGTACAGAATGTGTCACCAAAGAAGTAGATGATGCAGGAGCTGTAGACACCGTTGGACGGATAGGTGTGACCGAAGGTACACCTATCCTGCCCATATCAGGTGGGGAGGGGGTAGCAGCACTACCTGCTGGAGAAGGTGTCTGACTGACCCTACTAGTTGTCTGGAGGTTTGAAATTAAGTTTGACATCTACAAAAACAATAAATAAAAAAGTTACATTGCACTACTTTGACCTATTAACAGCCAGGAAGCTAGAGAGAACAGATTATGGCTAAGAAAAGTAGCAAAAATCATGAATACCAGAGATTTACCATAACACAGAAATGCGAGACTGACAAGTCAATAATGATTAGCATTAACTAATTAATCTGGTTTGGATATACTAAAAAATATCCTAACCTTGAAGCAAAATGCTATATATATATATCTCTCTCTCTCTCTTTCTCTTTAAATTCATTAATACCATTAAAGAAAGAATCGAATTATCAAATGATCTATACACGCGCAAAACATATATTGCATCCGATATCGTTTTCAATACTGTTTATCACTTTCTCAGGGAAAAGGGACCTTACATGCTTTTCTCAAGCAGGTACCTTTTCAAAGAAATCTTGAGACTTGCGACTTGCACCAAGGGTAGATGGGCAACCGTAGGAATTACCAAAATGCATTAGAACAAGTTATCATAAAGAAAAAGTAACACCCTGAGATAGAAGAACTAAAAAGTCTAAACATGATATGAGGTTATATTAGATTATATGGCCTTCATAAAATTCTAACAAGACTATATTTTTGCAATGCTACTCACAGTGCAGCAAATGTCCTTTGAAATAAAAAGATGGAACTATGGAAGTCATTTTGGGGAAATTCTTAATGCGGTGCTGCATAACATGAAAAATATAAAAAACATAAAGATGATCAAGTTTTAGCAACCTCAACTAATTCCTAGCAAAACCCATCTCATACAAACAAGAACAAAAACATCCTAAAAAATCACATTCAAATCCAAATGACAACAAAAATTTAAAATTTTTCCAAAAACCCAACTGTCAAAAAACCACCAGAAAACTATATTTGAACCCAAATGTGCTCTCACTTTGTACCCAAGTTGAAACCTATCCCCCGTAGTTTAGACGGATATCCTATTGTTTGTCAAAAGAAGAAAATAAGAAGAATCCATTGTTTTATACCAGTTCCTTGCCAAGTTCAATGGCAACATCCTGATAGCTGCTCTTCTTCCCTTGGCTGCTTCCACAAAACACACAAATCCTCCTAAACCTGGATTGCTGCTTCATTTCACTCTTAATCACCATTCTTTCTCTCTCAAACCACTCATCTTTTTGAAATAAAAAGATGGAAGTCATTTTGCTAGGAAATAATATATTTGTTGATTGTTAAAGTGTTGAACAGATCAGTGTACTATTTGTTGTATACTTGTGCTTGGACCTGATTTTACACTATCGGCCCGAGCAATTGAGACTGTTGAATAAGCAGAATTTTAGATCGTTGAACGGCAAAATGGTTGAAATGATTTTCAATTATTATTGAGAAATAATATTGTGATTTTAATCATGATATTATCTCTTAGTAATATATTAAATTATTTAAACCTAACATTAGTCGATCCAATTGATTTGGGATAAAGCTACAAGTGGGATTTGATAAACAAGATTGGTGATGATTATGACCAAGGAGCAATCCTGATGCTGCACACATTCCAAGAGGTGCACGTGGGTTTGGAGATAAAAGGATTGGATTCATGCATGTACGTAGGGAATTAGGAGACCATTTTCCATGCAATTCATGCACGTAGAATCATAGATGATCTGGTGAATAGGTGATAAGATATGGTGTGTGGTGCCTAGGAGTTTGAAGTTGGCTACAATTCTAAATACGAGTCTTATCAGGAGACTAGTGTATCTAGTCTGAATATAAGGAAAATGCAGTTGTCAACTATTCTGGGATATCAAAATGATGACAAAGGCTTCTGTGATAATTATCTCAAATGAGTGTTCTGCTTTGGGCTAGAATTGCATGGGTAGGCTAGAAAATATGTTCCTATAAATACAGACGTAGTGGCAACGGAAAAGCCTCCTCCAATTCAACACACAAACTGCCTTGTGCAAATCCTCGCTCCATGCGAAACCTCTCAAACACCTTGAGATTTTTATTTTCTTTTTCGCCAACACATCATCAATTTGGATAAATAACACTGTGAAGGCAACCGGTGACACCTTTAGTTTAGACATTGTTGCAGTAGAATCAATCGTCCGCAGAGCACCTTCAGTTTGGATAAACAACATTGCGTTGAGGCTGAATGGTTACCTATCCAAGTCTCGGTCGAGAAGGATTTTCGAATCCTTGTTAGCAGAGGTCATCTCATTAGCCTTCTCGATGAAGTAAGGTGTTACAAGTTACTACATTCGGCGCATTGAAAGCCGAATTTGATATTGAACTTTGTAGAACTAGCAGCCTTGTCTTCAGGCTTTAGAACTCGAAGGCCGAGACATGTTCCATCCTCGGCTGCAGTCGCAAGATCAAGAAATCAGTAGCGCACTCAACGCCACATCCGCATATTTTACTCACCGGCCGAGCTCGGCTGTTGAGTTGGCACGCCCTGCACACAGCCGAATGATGTAGTTAGGTCATTAATTACTTGACATATACGCCACGTAGGCTTGGTAGTTTTTAGGGTCAACAACTTGCCATGAAACTAGCTCTAGATTTCTTTAGCATTTCCTATTTTATTATTTAATTTGTAAATAGTGACTTGAGCAGTTTCCAATGAACGCTCTTCCGCCTTAACTTTTGAACTTGCATCTCTAATCTCTATCAAAGTAGTAGAACAAGTGTTGCTTTAAGAACCTTTGTGATAAGTTTTAGTTGTGATGTAAATTTCAGTGCCTAAACTTTGCAACTTCTAAAGTAAGACTTCCACCCCCAAAATTTGAATTTTATTAGGAATGCTGTTAACAAATGAATTAAATAAATTCAAATATTGGAAAGATGAATAAATAGTTATATATATATATACACACACACACAGAAGATGATATAAGGATGCGAAAGAAGCTATACTAACTGAATAAATTGCATTTGTGATAAATTCATACCAATCAACATGGGGGGGGGGTGTAAAAAAGGGGATCCTATCAACTTGTAATAAGCTCATGAGCTTAGTCTTACTTCATTGTTGACAAAATTAGGTCCTCAACATAAGTAGTATTCATGCAGAAGATCTAGAAAGTAACAAAACAATACCAATCTATCTGAACTGAAAATCAAGCAGAGAACCAAAGTAAACCAAAATATATCCAACTAGAGAACTACCTACTAGAACTAATAGAAAATATATTCAAGGTAAACCAAAGTAAACAAAAAAAAAACCATCCAGAGAACCAAAGTAAACATGGGTGCGCTGGACACACACTGCTTCCATTTATTTAGACAATTAGAAGATGGTCTAAGATATGCAAACAGAAACAACAACATGAAATATAAAGAAAATGTCTTTAAGCAGTATAAACACTTTGCAGTATAAGCAATTGAAAAACAAAAAAAGAATGTGTTTGCGTATGTGTGTGTGAAGGTGGCCAGATATTATAAGAAACTATAAGCAATCAAAAACCACCACCCAATATTCTCAATTTGAAAACCATAACCCAATATTCTTAATTCGAAAACCATAACACAATATTCTCAATTCGAAAACCCTAACCCTAGATTCCCAATTCGAACCCTGAAGCAGTAACCCAGGATTCCCAATTCGAACCCTAAATCCCTAAATGTTCTAATTAAGGGAGAATGAATTAAGGGATACTGGGTACTAACCTAGTCTTGTTGCGGTGGCGATGAGATGGTCTGGCGTCGGAGTGTGGTGGCTGAGAGAGGGAGAATGGCAAAGAGACAGAGAAACAGAGAGAGGGCGAGAGAGGGATAAACTGAGATAGTGAGTGATGAGAGCTGGAAAGAATAGAAAGAGAGAGAGAGAGAGAGGAGAGTAAGTTCGGACATAATCAAGAGATAGAGTTAAGCTTAAGCTTTTCATGTAGAGAATGAGAGAGAGACAAAAATAAATTAAGGCGCCGAACTCCAAATGCACTCAATTTTGGCAAAAAAAAAAAAAATCAATTTTTTACATGTTTGTGCAACGACATTGTTCTAATTCTCGTCGCATGACCAGTTTTTAAATTAAAAAAAAAGAAGAATTTTAAAATATTTGCGCGACAAACATTTCCAAAACGTCGTCATGCATATTTGTACATTTAATTTATATTTTTAGTTAAAGGAAACTTTTGTTTGTATAAAAAATAAATACCATTCAATAAATATCATTACATTTACATCACAAGTTTTCATTAATCCTTGTTTGAACTAGAATAAATATCATCACTATCGTCAGAATCAGACTTCCATTCCTCCTCATCTGTAGGCACATCAACATTGTCGTTCGCCCACTCGGGTGCATCGTATCGTGGTAGATCCTTGAGGTCAATCATAATGGAGTCGATCGGTATATTGATTTCTTGACCTCCAGCTACATAATACGGTTCTTGTACAATAGTCATATCCTACAGTGTTTCTGCACCATGTGACAACCCCTCCCTAATTTTGGGATTTTATTAATTTTAAATGAGTGAATTGACGAAAATGGCCTTAGAGGTGAGGATGTTGACCTTCGTTGACCAGTGTATTGTGAGATGTGTGAAACATTCTTTTAGCGTATCCTTGTAGTGCTCGTTATTATGAATGCAAGGTGCAAACAAAATTGAATTTGGAGCTACAATAGAGATTTTACGGACTTACGAACGTAAAGGGCGATTTGGTAATTTCATATTGGGAAGATATTTTGTGTATTGTTTTGTGAGCCAGTGGGGCCCACACCCCATTTCTCTCTCTCTTCCGTGTCTCCTACCTTCTCGGGTTACTTCCTATTTGTCACTCATTCTCTTTGTACCATTACACACACACACACATTTTCTCTCTCAGCTCATTCTCATCTATTTCTTTCTGAAAATGCAGAAGCCACACTATACAACCCTAGCCAGAACGGCAAGCACCACCACCATAAACCTAGACTAATCACAAACCACTGCCTACTGCCATGATTTTCCTTTCCCTCACTTCTTTCTTTCTCTGTTGCAAACTCCCTCTTTCACTCTACACCCCTTCTTCCCCCAACAGTCTCTCAAACTCTCTCTACAAACTGTGCACAGTGTACTGAGCCACTATTACCAGCCACATACAATGATGGCTACTCCGACGAGTCCTCATGCCACACCTTAGACCATTTGCCTCAGTTGCTCACATTCCTCACTACATAGACGCAAGTATGGTGGCACCATCGCCATCTTTCACGGCTATTTTCCACCATGTACTCGTAGACGCGTGGGAGCATGTGAAGGAGCCACCATGAGTGGAACGTGCGGTGCGTGGCTGCCGGTGCAGCCACGTGGCGGCGAGTGGAGGAACCCGAGGTCCCTTCTTAGGTTTCTCGACGTGCCAAATCCGAATCCGCCGTATGTTTTTCGAAATTTGACTGTTTTAAAATAGTTCCTTTATTAGTCGTACTTTGTATGAAAAACACGTTTATATGTTATATATTTATGTTAATGGTTTTGTTTCTAGGTGAACGCATCGTAAGGATCTTCGAAACCCGTGAGACGGGGTTGACCCGACGACATAATCTATGAGTGGGTCTTTTCTTTTATATATTATATACATATTTGTTATTTTCCATCTATACATTTGAAAAAGAATTTTCTACGTATGCCTAGATTAAACAAATGTTTACAAGAATTAGCAAAATGATGGAATTTATGAAATTATTTCGAATCCTACGAGCATAGGTATGCGTATGATGCCTTAATTATATCTGCAGCCATGAATAATTTATACTGACTATAATTATTGAATCACTGTGGCATGACTATATTTATGTTATATGTTTATTGTTTGCTGCACCGGTGTTCATACTCACGCGGGCCAGGGCCAGTCTTTCACGTGTATGTGCACATCGCATCGTACGCTCACTTTGGATCCGTTATAGGTGCTAGTCCTGTCTTAGATTGCTATAGGCAATTAGGACTCGTATGTGCTGCGCATAGCGCCAATCTTCATGTGATTGTAGTACTACAACGTATATCACTGTTACAACCAGTCCTGTTCATGTCAGAATATCTTTGCATGAACTCGTGTGTTAGCATGTGTCGATGAGCACTCAATATGATATGTTTGCTTATGCGAGATTGTGTGATTACGGGCGTCATGTGTTTATTTACGAAATATTATGCCGTATTGAATTCTTGAGATATTGCAGGCTACAGTAAGTGTTTTCTTTACGCATATTGCAGGCTAACAATAAGTATTTTCTTTACTATACATAGTATGTATATTTTGGAAACTATACTTATTTTACGGCGATGGGTTATAATGTTTTCAAAAAAGTTTTTATAAAACTTTATTTTTAGGTTCACTCACCCTTGTTTTTCGCCCCTCCAGGTTTTAGTAGCTGAGCTTTCATATCGACGAGGATTCTTGGCAATTCTTGGTATTGTAGATTACCTTCGATGGTATAATTCTCATTCTATTTTACTGTACTTTATTTATGCTCTAGCATCACGTGTGAAATGGATTCATTCCCGCTCACCAACGCATTCTTATATTTAGGCATTTTTCAGTTTAAATTTATTCACATTTTTCACATCACTACACCTTATGACTTCATCACCCTTCTAGTGTTGGCCAACACAGCTTGATTCGGAGTCCAAGTGGACATCCGGGTCGGGGTGTGTCAGTTTGGTATCAGAGCATAAGTTGGGCAGTATTGCGTTCTTCACATGCATGATGTAAGCATTCATGATTCTTGAACCTAAGTGTCGAATCTTGCCACCTCATTGAATATGAAAAACTTGTTAGCTTTTCCCTAAATTTTGGGCATCTTAGACGACTTATCGATGCTCTAGAAGAAAATTTCGACAACTACCTCTAGACTTTATACAAAGAATATTACTGCTAAGGAAATCCTGATTTGGAGACGAGTTTGTGGCCCTGAAGTAGGGTTATTGTGTCAGTAATTGTGTACCATCAAAGATTTTACTCATCAATTCCACTACTATTATCTCGTCATTTTTTCCAACCCTTTCGAGTTAGGAAACCAATAATCATTTTGATTCCTTGGCAGTATCTGTTAGTATACCATCTATCAGAATTCGTAAGAAGGTCCGCCTAAGGTCCTTCCAAATTGGAGATCTTGTTTTGGCATTACGAAGGCCCATCATCACAACTCACAAGACAAAAAGCAAGTTCACATCAAAGTGGGATGAACCTTATGTAATACAAGAGGTCTACACCAACGACGCCTTCCTAAACTACACACGACACAATGCTCCTCGCCTGCACAAGCCTAAACTGCACATGGAAACAATGCTCCTTGTTTGCACAAGCTTAAAAGGCGACACTCAACACTCCTTGTTCACACGAGTTTAAAAGGCGACACTCAATGCTCCTTGTCTGTATGAGCCTAAACTGCACACTGCACAACTCTCCTTGTTCGTACGAGTTTAAAAGGTGACACTCAATGCAACAAAGTTAATTTCATTGAACGATCAAGACCTAAAAGAATGTTGCACGAATCTTGAAGCACATTTGAATCTTGGAAATTCCATTGATGTAGGTAAAGCTGTCTTATATTCTGAATTACAGATATTGCAAACAATTTTACCTAAAGAATCATTTCAATCTAATAGACCTTGGACATCCATTGAAATAGCAAAGTTTGTAAGAGAAATTGATGTGTTGACTACTTATGTACCTGTAACTGTGGCATATGCAGAAAGGAGTTTTTCAAAATCGAAATTATTGAAATCTTACTTGTAGACCACTATGACTCAAGATAGGCTAAATAGATTAGCAATCTTATGCATTGAAAAAGATGAGGTTGAAGACTTGAAGTATGATCATATAATCGATGATTTTGCTTCAAAAAATGTTAGAAGATGATTTCTTAAAGGTTGTAATTTCAAAGAGTTTTGCTTGGATTGGTTGTATATGATTTTGCTTTTAATCGTCGGGGGTTAGGTATTATGTCCCACGCCTCCCACCCACCCCCCCCCCCCCCGCTTTAACTGGGTTTCAATCCTTTAATTTTTTTTTTTTTTAATATATGTATGTTTTTTTTTGGAGGAAATTTTTTAATATATGTTTGTCTATTGAAAAATTTTCAAGGCACATTTTTTAGCCTTCATTCAGGGCACCAAAAAAAATAAGGACGGGGCCTGGCGTCAAGTATGTATTACCGAATGGAATTTTCAAATTAATAAATAAATAAAAAAAACCATGTTTCGTGATGGAATTGATACTATACTTTACTACCATAGAATATTGATTGTTAAAAAATCATTGTCATACTTTTTTGTCCAATTTTCTTAGTATTATTTTAATATTGACTACAAATTATAGGATCATATAGTTTTCATATTATTTTGTAATATGAGAAAGCATTCCTAATCGATGTCTCAATTCTTAAAAATGTTTTGAAATTGTGAATTTTTTGGACGACATAGACTCTTTAAATTTTTGTGTGAGATCCTTTCATTTGTCATATCTTTTTGGAAATTTACACATTTGGAGCTTGGTGGTAAAGTTTATCAAGTGGAAAGCAAATTGAGCACGTATTTTTGATAACGATAGGAAAAGGCTAGAGACGATCAAAGAGGATGCATGCATGAGTATATTAACAAAGCTGAGATAGACAGTAATTAATTATCATTATTGGAGAAAAATAAAGAACAACATATGAATTGAATTTACATCAACAAATTATGATCAGAAAAAGTATGATCAACATTATGAATTGGCAATAATGTTAAACTGTATCAATCAGCAAACACTTTGAGAGATAAATTACAATTCAGGTAAATGTAAAAATCCTGTGTAAACATGTACTTTAGAAGTAAAGAATTTCTAGTCAAGATAACCATCAAGAGCACCAAGCTTGTCGGAAAAAAAGGTTCAATATTTTATTCATCAAACCCATGTAAAAATTAGGGTTTGGGAGATGAAAAATATCAAAAGAAGGAAGAGGAAATGTGATGGTTTGGGTTTCGAGCTGCCATTTGGCAACATTGGGTAAGTGTCTGGTAAGGGCATCTGACAGTTTTCTCCATTGAAATATAGTCTTCTAGGGAAACCCCATCCATTTTTTAATGTGAAGGAGTTTGAGTCCTTTTCCAGAAGTATCTCTGTTGAGACTGAACCCACTCCAACCTCAGTTGTTGCAATCAGCTCTTCATTGACGTAGGGTATGCCCCAGTACAGGGCAGCTGCATCTGCAAGAGTCCTCAATGAGAAACTAGAATTTGCTTGAATAAAGCGGTTATAGAATAAACAGTAATGTTCTATTGTCAAATTTAGGTTGCCAGACAGAACGTAACTTCAATCATCACAAGTTGCCTATTGAGTATTGATAGAGGGTTTTGACTACCTAGTAAGTCTTGGCCAAATTATCCGAACTCTCTTACAAGGTTGCAAGGTCTATGTGAACCTCACAATATCATGGTTCCACTTCAGGTGACCATAATCGTCAATACGACATATTTATGTAGTTGTCAGGCTGTTTGGCAGCAAGGCTGTGAATTTAGATTATTGATCAGGTTGATTCTATTTAACATGTGATCCAGATTCACAATGTTATTATATAGACATATTCTTTCTACTAAAATTAATCTATAAAACCAACTTGATGTTCAACATTTCTTAGTTTTACTTTCATGGTTATTGAAGCAAAAATATCAAATAGAGTATAAGTACCTCTAAACCCAGTAGGAAGAATTGTACTGTTGAAACTGTACGTTCTTGCTTCCTTGCTGAGACCAGGGTGCTGGACCAGTACATTCCAATTTGAGAAGTTTTTCATATAGTTGTAATTAGTAATTGTAAGTTTAACTCTCCAGTGAGTCAAGTAGTTAGTCTTAAGATGCCAGTGAACACGAATCGGGCACATATGATCAGTGCATTTCACTGTGTCAAGACCATCCCCATCATATTCTACTGACGTTCTTAAAGGGTAGGCTTGCCTGTTATCATAAAGAGGAAAGAGATACAGAAACGAAGGATTAGTGGAATTCAACTTAACTTGCAAATTTGGATCTCTCAGTGTTATGATGCAGTAAAAATAATTAACAGTGCACCTAATGCATGTATCCATCTTTTTGTCTGTTACTGGTCTGCATCCACAGCTACATTTGAGGCATGATGTGATCTCAGAATTGTAAAATGAAGAGAGTGAAACACAACAGACTGGAGAATCACTAGCTAAAAAACTGGAATAAGTGCATGTTGCTTTCCAAGTTCCTGCAAACAAGTAGTTGATGATGCTTTAACCTCAAATTAAGTTAATCAGAAGTAGCATAGTTAAATCACGTCATCAGACTATGAATCATATTCATGCATGACTCTATACAATCAACCATTATGATTCACAGCCTGTACGTCAAGAGAAAATCTCAACTATTCACAACCTGATCGCTAAAAATTATAGCTTTGTTCCATCCCCTCCGCATGCCGAGGATCCAGCTCTAAAAGATGGTTTGGTTTTGGCGGCGACAAGGGGCTATCAAAATATGATGTTTGAAAGCGATGCGCTTCAGATCATCTCGGCATTGAAGGATTCTGCTATTAATATGTCTTCTATTGGCCATTTTATTGAAGATTCCAAAGACATGTTGGGAAAGATCACTGAGGCTTCTTACACCCACGTCCACCGTCAAGCAAATGGCGTTGCCCATCGTTTAGCCCCTATTGCTCTTGGAGCTGTTAGTCCATTTTTTTGGGTTTGATACACCTCCAGACTTTATAGCTGATGTGATTGTGGAAGATGTTATGTAATTGTAAATGGTCTAACATTGTAATCTCCTTTTGTTCTACTTTTTGCAATGAAATGCAATACTGTCCTTTTGATAAAAAAATAGACTTATGCATATTAGATTTGCTTACATTAATGAACTCTGAATATGAACCACGCGTAAGTACTAACAAAATTGAGCTAATCCAGTTTTCCAGTTTTTGACACATGCATTTTATGTTATCAATCAGTCTGAAAAGAGAACATTTTCATTAATATACGTGCATGTAATGGCTAATTAAAGTGCTTACTGAAAACTGGACGTTGGCGTCTACCCCCAAAATCCATAGAAACTGTGGGGTCAACATTCAAAAGAGGCCCACAGGTGTAACCAAGACCTGGTGCCTTCAAAGTAAGATTGAGAGGTGGATTTCCATTAAAAGGATATCCTCCCAAATTTCCGACTTTAATTCCAAACGAAGATAATGACTTGGAAGGGTTGATAGCCCAAGCATCAAGTACACCACCCCGGCAGCAGTCCTCCAATTTGTTGTCCAACAAGGCGTCTGGCGTGAGGTCATCTATTTCAGGATTTTTCTTACAGGAGTGTGGTATATCAGTCTGGTACGCCGAGCAATTTCCTTGATCGTTAGCAAACGCACCGGTTATTGACCAAATCACCTCATTCTGTTGCCAAACCCATCCAAGCTGCCAACCAGGTTTGTCCACATGACGATACTGGTAGAAATTTTGGATGGTTACTTTTGCCTGCAATAAAAGTTTCTGTTAGTCTATTGCATATTGTATATAATTAAGTTCAAGACTTGAAAAGCATCAAATACATACACAAATGTACGGTAATAGAATCAAGGGTTTCTTTAGTGTTTCTAGGTCATACAAGTGTTTTTCTGGAGAAGTACTTGCCGAGTGCTTCAATAAGAAACACTTTCAAATGTTTTCTTTTTCAGGAAGGACATGAATTTTTAATCAAAGTTTCAACATGTTTCTAGGTCATACAAGTGTTTTTATGGAATACTAACCAAATAGCCATCATCTGCCCAATCATATGTGTCGAAGGTAACCGTAAAGTTTCCATTTGGATCCAAGGGGTCATAGCAATCTGCAAACGAAACAAAGCATCATCTCATTTAGAAAATCTTTCTCACCCAAAAACGGAATCAAGAAGCAACACACAGGCTTGTGATCAATATAATGGCTCGTGTTCATGCCTGATAAACTGCACATAGCAATTAACAACATGGACACTAGGGCAGAAGGCCACAAGCAAGAAAGGATGAGAGACATTTTTTGTCTGGGCATGAGAAACAAAAGTTGGAGATGGTTAGAAGGTTGTTATAGTGCAATGAAGAAAAACCTGTTCCCCGATGTTTACATTATAAACAAGCTGAAGGGAAAGTTCTGCATAAATCTAGATGAAAACCCAAATTCCTATTTCATTCAAGATTTTCGGTTGCTCAAATCAAACAAGAAACATCGGAAATATCACTTGGATATGAGCAGACAAATCCAAATGAGCTGGTTCCTTGGAGATGAAGACGGAAGATAACATTGAACCCAAAATAGACACAAGATACCATGCAGTACCCATTCATCCTTAGCTACTTGACATATTTGGAAGCACCCTCTTGTCTCATTCAAATTCCCATTCAACTGGAGTTATTAAAAGGGAGGACTGCATAAACTTAAGCGTCAACCTACATGGGATTACAAAAACAAGTAAATTCAAACTGTTGCTGTTAATCATGTAATTCACTGAACCATAATGGTGGCATTTTGATGGATATATCCATGTATTTGGATTCAAAAGCATTCATTTATTGAATATCGGAACGCTCTTCTCATTCTCTTTGCGTACCATTTTTCTTAAACAAATCATTTATCTCAAACGAATATTTCATATGACTCTGAAAGGAAACGTAGATAGATGCCAAAGCTGATGACGTTATAAGTGATGAAGATGCTCAATTAGAGTTGATCCCTAATTTGCATTTGATAGTGGATTTTTGTTTTGTACCATCGATTAGGGGGTATCGAACTTGAAACCTTGAATGTTAAGGCAAACACTTTTAACCAAGTATGCTACAACCCTAGTGCATTTCAATCTATATTAGCTGTTGAAACCAAATTCGCGCACCATCGTAGATGTTGGAGGCACAAATCCGAGTAACCTGTAAAACAACAAACAACCGTAAGCAAGCTAGAGACTAGGAAGAGGGGTGTGTCGGACAAATGCTCTTCGACGACCAAGTTAGAGAGAGAGAATTAGAGTACGATGATTTCTCTACCAAAGACGAGCCCTAGATGGGTACGTTTATACCAGTCGGGAGAGAGACCTTTCTATGATAGAATCCTTGTTCTAAGTCAGGAAAATCCTACAAGGTATTTAGAAGTAGATATTACATCCTCTTTAATGTGATTACTTGTGGTGCACCAATTCCTAGATTGTAAGAACTTATAGAGGGTCTAGCTAATACCATGCTAGATTAGATCCTCGTGTCTTGCAAAGCAAGCATGGTCATTCTCAACAAAACCACCCGGACTTCACTTGCAACTTTTGAGGAGGATGATGATGGCACCACTGCTAGGAGAGGAGAATCCTACAAGGTATTTAGAAGTAGATATTACATCCTCTTTAATGTGATTACTTGTGGCGCACCAATTCCTAGATTGTAAGAACTTATAGAGGGTCTAGCTAATACCATGCTAGATTAGATCCTCGTGTCTTGCAAAGCAAGCATGGTCATTCTCAACAAAATGACCCGGACTTCGCGCGCTGCTCTTGAGGAGGATGATGATGGCACCATTGCTACGTTAATCTAGCTCCGTTATGAGCTGTTGAGTCCATACCAGACTTCTGAGGTAGCTTTATTCCGATCTGACTTACTCTGACTTATGAAAATTATGGTCCCACAACTGCCTCTAACTATGCATCTGAAATGAACATGTTCCTCTTAAGGATGGATAGTTATCCAAAGACCATACCTTTTAGAGTAAGTTGAAATATGCACTGTTTAGTCTTATGTCTTCATATGGCGATCCGCTGCTTGTGGACTAGTGGAGACGTTTCGAATTCAAACGTGTCGTGCCATAAAGGTTTCAATGATGAAGTTTCCCTTTGTTGCGTGTGCACAAAAAACAAGAAAACTTACCTTCGATATTCTTCACTGATTTTAACTGTCAGATTCATTGACCCCGAGAAAAGCTGGTCCGTATTCAACGAATAGATGATTTGAAATGTCTTTCTAAATGTCCCTCGGACCTCACCTTCTCTTCTTTACCAAATCCCTAATTTTGGTATTTTACCCAGAAAAACATCAACTGTCCTTTCACTCTTTAATTCAAATCCCTTCCATCTTCGTTTCACCCAAAACTTCTTTTTTTATTAGAATTATCCCAAAATTTCAGAGAAATGACTTCCATTTCATCAGTTCATCCCGCTTCTCATGCTAATTTCGATACTCACTTTGATCCTTCGATGATTAGGGTTCACAACAAGGAGGAAGAGAAGGCATTTATGTCACACCCTGATTTTTTTTTTCTTCCTTCTTCGATTAAGGGCGTGATGAAAAAAAAAAAAAAAAAATTAAAACTACAACTAAAGTAGAACTAGACGAGAAAAATTTGGAAAGAAACTTTTATTCCAACAAAAGTAATTTACAAGGTAATATTACAAGAAAGTAAAGGAAAAGAAACAACACATTCTCAACTTATTATTTTATTGGATCACAAACTAAACTTCCAGTTGGAACCCTGCAACAAATTCATAAGGGGCGAGCCTTAAAAGCATAGTAGGGGTCCTATGTCTAACATGTTTTATTATTACGTAAGAGATAAACAAACTCAAAATTGAAAAATATATACAAATGAATGAGATAAATTTATGAATTTCATTCTCCTTCATTTTTGCCCCACTGGTTAATCCACACAATAGAGCAAGCAGGCTTGCATGTTAGCATACCATGCATTCTAGCATAGTGACCCCGAATGCCCTATTGCATGAATTAACCCCCGAACACAATCAACCCAAAAATACCACTTTTGTTGGTCATCATGTTCATCTCTCGGTTGCCAGATTCCTTACTACTTCAAGCCATTCCTATAAATTCCAATTTTCCTGCCTGACTGGTCTTTACAAGAGTTGAACTTAACCGCACAAAAAATATTTCCACTCCATAACCCAAGCCTTAAATATGACCACAAACTCCTTCACTCCAATATGTAATGAAATACAATATTTATTCATTATAGAAACATCGTATGCCAATACCAAGAGTTAAAAAATTAATAATTAACTTCATAAACACCATCATAATGATATTCATCAAGGATACCAAATTCATGATTCAGTAATATTGTATAAGCAAATTACTCGATCAATGATAAGTTAATTAACTTATACAATATTAGTGAATCCTGAATTTGGTATCCTTGATGAATATCCTTGTGATGGTGTTTATGAAGTTAATTATTTAACTCTTGGTGTTGGCATACAATGTTTCTATTTTGAATATATTGCATTTCATTACATATTGGAGTGATGAAGTTTGTGGTTATATTATGGAATGGAAATATCTTTTGTGCAGTTGAGTTCAACTCTAGTATGGGCCAGTCAAGGAGGAAAATTAGAATTTATAAGAATAGCTTGAAGCAGTGGGGAATCTGACGACCGAGAGACGAACAAGATAACCAACAAAAGTGGTATTTTTGGGCTGATTGTGTTACGGGGGTTAGTTCATGCAATAGGGCATTCGGGGTCTTTATTGTACGTAGAATGCATGGTATGGGACATGCAGGCTACTTGCTTTATTATGTGGATTAATGGGTGAGGCAGAAATGAAGGAGAATTAAATTCATGCATTTATCTCATTCATTTTTATATGTGTTTCAATCTTGAGTTAGTTTATCTCTTATGTAGTAATAAAACATGTTAGACATAGGACCCCTACTAAGCTTTTAGGGCTCACCTTTTATGAATTTGTTATAGCTAGGGTTCCAACCAAAAGTTTAATATGTGATCCAGAAACGTCGAGGTCTTCTTGTAGATGTTTGGACTTGTCTTGTGAAAAAATAAGTTGAGAATGTGTTGTTTCTTTTTCTTTACTTTCTTGTAATATTACCTTGTAAATTACTTTTGTTTGAATAAAAGTTCTTTTCAGATTTTTCTCATCTAGTTCTACTTTAGTTGTAGTTTTATTATTTTATTTTTTTTCATCACAACCTTAATCGAAGAAGGAAGAACAAGAAATCGGGGTGTGAAAAGTTGGTATCAAAGCATAGGTTTAGTATCCAATAGATTTATAGGTCTTGCATTCACCTCTAAGTTGAGAAAGGTGGGAAATCGGAGATGGATATTAGATGTGAGGCTAGAAAGTTGTATTTATTTATTTGGCCTTGTACCGCTTCAACTTTTTTTTGTTTATTTTATTTTACTTTATTCGTGCGTCTGGAATTTTCTGTCAACCCTAGGTCCGGGCGTGACAATTTCTAAATGCAATAGTCACCTATTGGACAGCTGCAAAGTCTGGTGGGAGGTCGGGCATGACGTTAGAGGGCTTTTTCCTAAACCCTATAACCCTAGACGTCCTTGTAGCAGGATCCATCCTTGGTACTTGGATTTGGGGCCAAAGTTCTTGTTGTCGCCTTTGTTGAAATAGATTTTGATTTGCTTAACTTTAAGATTGGTTTCTGCAACCTCACTCCCACCTCTATTCGCATCATTACCTGTTTTAAGCGCTTAAATGACTGGTATGGCGCTGAACTTGGTCTTCAAAAATTTTGTATGCTCTATACAATACGGAAGAACACTAAAACTTGATATTTTTATCCAATCCAGGTTAAACCTCTGATGGCTTGCAGACATCACTGATCTTCCTGGTCAGGACAAAGACTATATGTTTCTTGTTGACAGGAATTGGGAGGGAGACATCTTCGGAGCTAGAGTCCCCAATATGCCTATTGTTGATCTCAACTAAAACAATAATGTCGTAAGCATTAGACAACGTCGCCTGAGCTCATTAATAGAGCGTTCCAAGAGATTTCTCTTGAGCATTGGAGTTAGAGATAGCAAACACCATTGTGAACCATTGCTCTAATCATCCTATTCAGGACCCATAATGGGTTAGTGCCAAAGTAGAAAAAGAGACTTGAATGTGTGGAGCAAAAAGAGAATCATATCAAGGCTCCCAAAAAAAAGCCCAAATCGACAAATAGTTCTGGGAGTTGTCGAGAAGAGATAAATAAAGTGTTAGTAATTGGCGACCGCATTCCCCTTAAATCAAAGTTGGCTACAGAGGGTCCGTAAAAGTCTCTAGTAGCTGGTGAAGAAAAAGGAAGCAAACTCTTTTTTGGGAAGGATGAGAATTCCACCAAGGTTTATATGGATCAAGCCTCTCTCATTGTGGCATAAGAACAGTAATAGAAAGAGCTACAACAGCAGCAACACCAATGTCTTCAAAAACAGGTCTTTACTTTGATTGTTCACGATCTGATACTTGAACAAGTTCATGCTTCAAATTTAGTAGATAAGGCGGCACTTATCGATCCCTAGGGACCGTCACTTGCTATGTCTATCCCTCCCGAAGTGGTTACAATAGGAGGGCATTTTTTTACAACCAAACCTACATGTGGTTCCAAGATGTTTCCCATCAACGCAGTCAGTCTTTGTGACACCAGGTAGGCTCAAGCTTTGGTCTACTTGAATATCTCCTCCGCCAATTTTAGTGAGATAGTCACTGATGTTGATCACCTAGCAGAGAAGTATTATCAGATCACAGATACGCGGTTAGTTCTTCTTTCTTTCTAACATGATATCTTTATTTTTTTCTCTTTTCTGGGTTTTTGAATAAAG